AGATATGCCTATTGTTAATAGTTTGGCACAGATGTATCACAACCCAATTTAGGGCCATGACCGGCGCTAAGGGGTAGGATCCCAAAGCAAGCCTTAACGGGAATTTACAGAAAATTTAGCAGAGTTTTCCCTATTTTAGGACTATCCAAAAATTTACCCTATCTCAGAATCAACAACAGAACCAACCTATATCAACCAAAGTATCTCCTAATCCTCATCAGCTAATAAAATATTTATCCACCACTATTAATCAATCAATTGTACCACAGTAATACTAAATTCATCTCCAAAATATGATACGTAAGTCTAATACTAGTTATAGTTCTAAAATAATAAAGGAATACTCATGACACTAAAAAATGATTATGGAGCGACTCTAAGAGTTTTAAAGAAAAGAACATAACAAATGAATAAACTCTTCGCCCACGCGAACAAGTGCGGGGCTTACCAAAAATTTGTCAAATCGTGTACTCTAATTAACAAAATCCTGCTCGCATCAACTGATGTCTCTGTTAAAAAAAAAGTTGCGGGGAGTGAGTCGCTAGCTCAGTGAGTAATAATACTTAACCACAACCGTTTTTAGCTGGGACAAGTCAGAAAACATGCTTGTATAATAATCAGAAAATATAATGAAGTAAATGCCCTTTTCAAAATTGGTAACAATAATCGGTCTTGTCTATTTTCATAAGAAGGAATCATTTGACAATTCGATAATAAACTCTGTAAACATTATCATATCAAATCTTATGTTTGGGAGGTTTTCAAGAAAGGATCATATAATCTGTATCACTGTATGGACCCCTTCGTCAAAGGAGTTAAATATAACTATAGGTCCCTACTCGAGGAAAAACTGTAACTGTATGCTAGTTCTACCTTCCCACTAGTGAGGGCTATAACTGTACTCGATAATCGGTAAATACAAGGTGCACCAGGTCTAACGAACTCGCCGTTAGCTACGGGATCCTTCAAAGTCTCCTCCCATTTATACTTTTCTTTGTAAACAGTAAATATTCACATGAGAGCATTTTCAAAATAGTACATGGCATTTCAATTCTTATCAGATCATGTAATTCAGTTTCAGTAAAAGTAATAATATCTCAAGTAACAGTAAAATATGTCTAGTAATAGTGAGAATATTTTAAATAATTGTAAACATCTCAAGTAAACTATTCAAAACCATATCAAGTAAAGGACTTGTCTCACATGCAAATTTCAAATATTCGGTAACACATTTTAATTTCAAAATAATGTATAAACCATGCAGGTTATGAAAACACAAATTGTGGTAAGATTACTACTCATAGTACTTGTGCCGAAATACCAAATACTTCACCTCAAGCAATTCATACAACTTCCTCCTATCAATCTATGATCACATAAAATTAATCTTGTGTCAATTGCCTTGTTTAGGCTATATCATAACTACTTTAGAATACCTAATCTTCCGAGTTTCATGTTTTACCATCATTTTGTCGAATTATATTTACCCATGCATTGAGTAATTCAACTAATCCATAATCTATCAATTTCAACTTGTATAATTTGTTCTTTCAATTTTTTTTCACACCGGATGATGCCTAATATGTGTATTATAAGCCTAAACCATAAAGGATCACTGTTGACAATACTTCTTTTAGTGCCTAATAAAATTATATACACCCAGACGATAAGCTTAAGCAAACTGTAAGTAAGAAAGTTTAGCATACGAATTGAAAGATAGCTTCAACAAACTGTCTTTGCTTCTCTGTTTCACGCAAGAAGATTTCAGCACCAAAACAATACTCTATGAATCCTTGTTTTATCCTTCACGTTTCAGTTCCACTGAATATCCCCATCTTTTAAACTTTGTATTTCAATTTTTTGTGTATTTGGGATCTTTGTTTATAGCTTTGGTTTCGGGATAAGCTCTTAGTGCGGCAGAAGTTTGCTCTCATGTATTTGGGTTTTTTTTCTTTCTTTTTTCCACTTCTTATTAGGTAAAAATTATGTAGGGTAGCCACCTTTTAAAGTGGTATTTACTTTTTATCCAGCATTTTTAAAGCTTAGCAATAGTAGCCACTAGTCTATTAAAATTAATATGAAAAGACTGTGTTACCCTTTCTTCTATCTCTTTCATGTTAGGGAGAAGAACTGTGCCACCGTCTGTGAGATCGCGACTGCCATGGACTCCGGAACTTATCAGTAACTTATTCTGTTCATCACTATCGCACTCTTTATCATCCTCATCCTTTGTATTCTCAGAATCATCATTAGACAAATTATCTTGGGACACTAAATGGTCGTCACTTGTATTTTCATCAGACTAGTAATGAAAAGGTTATGTAGATTTGTCTTATCAATGTTGCATCCAAGCCGAATCTGACATCAATCTTATATGTAAATTGTAATTATTATTATTATTATTATTTTGTGAAAATATACAAATAACATTTGGTTTTCTGCTACGTTATGGATCCTGAACTTACAGTTACAAGTTCAAAAGTTAAGGACACTTGGTCCTGAACTTTGAGTTCCAAGTTCAAAAGTTAACGACACTTGGTCCTGAACTTAGAATTACAAGTTCAAAAGTTAAGGGCACTTGGTCCTGAACTTAGACTAACAAGCTCAAAAGTTAAGGACAATAGGTCCTGAACTTATAGTTACAAGTTCAAAAGTTAAGGACAATAGGTCCTGAAGTACTGAACTTAGACTAACAAGCTCAAAAGTTAAGGACACTTGGTCCTGAACTTACAGTTACAAGTTCAAAAGTTAAGGACACTTGGTCCTGAACTTAGACTAACAAGCTCAAAAGTTAAGGATAATAGGTCCTGAACTTAGACTTACAAGTTCAAAAGTTAAGGACAAGTAGTCCTTAACTTAGAGTTACAAGCACAGAACTTAAAGACAGGTGGTCCTGAACTTCGAGTTCCAAGTTCAAAAGTTAAGGACATGTAGTCTTGAAGTCCTGAACTTAGAGTTGCAAGTTCAAAAGTTAAGGACATGTAGTCCTGAAGTCCTCAACTTAGAGTTGCAAGTTCAAAAGTTAAGGACACTTGGTCCTGAACTTTTATGAGCAGAAGGATGTTTTCGTCCGGGCAGGTAAAGTTTATTAAAGCAGTGGCAAAAGACTAAAGACATTGTAAACGGTGGCTTAAAAGTAAATACATGTGTTATTAGTGGCTAACCGTGCACTTCCCCCTCTTATTAGATTAGTTACAGTGGGATTTTAGCCCAGATATCTTTTTTTTTTTTTTGTATGCTAATGACTAATATAGCCAAACGTAAATATGGGGTATTACAAGATATGCCCAATCCGTCCAATACTTGCGCATTAGATGCCCTTAGTTTAACGGAACCACTATTTTATCTTTCTTAAATAATTAATAACCGGACCCAACCAAAATCTGCTGACCCGATCCATTAGGACCCGACCCACCCTTATTTCAAAGATATATTTTGATATATATTTTTTTTTTGATTGAGAGATTGTGTGATAATCATATTTATTTATTTGAGTAATTGATAATCGATTTTTTTTTTGTTATACATCATTTCGGGAAGTAATCCTACTAAAAGTAGTAATTGATATTTATTTATTATTTTAACAATATAATATTCGAATTAATTTGTTCTTTCTTCAATCATTTTACCATCTATTTTTATTTTTCTCATAATCTATTTGTATTCCCAATACAAATAACTCCATGTTCGCTATAACTTAACCTGATGGATCCGTTTTTTTGTTTAGATAAGTGATCATTATGTATTTGATTATTAGTTTATTGGATTATTTTCTGCATTATAAATTTGTTATGAAATAATTAATAAATTGTTAAAATAGTGGTGCTTCTTATTAATTAATTATTTCATAATAAATATTATTTCATAACAAGCACCACTGAGAAAAATAAAAATAGATGATAAAATGATTGAAGAAAGCACAAATTAATTCGAATATTATATTATTAAAATAATAAATAAATGTCAATTACTACTTTTAGTAGGATTATTTTCCGAAATGATGTATAACAAAAAAAAATCGATTATCGAATTACTCAAATAAATAAATATGATCATCACACAATTTCTCAATCAATCAAAAATAATATCTTTGAAATAAGGGTGGGTCGGGTCCTAACGGAGGGTCAGCAGATTTTGGTTGGGTCCGATTATTAATTATTTAAGAAAGACAAAATAGTGGTTCCGTTAAACTAAGGGCATGAATGAGCAAGTATTGGATGGATTGAGCATATTTGTCCAAACTATTAACGACGGGCATATCTATCCTAATTCGCATAGTTCACTGGCATATATGACCCTTTTCAGATAATTTTATGGCAATCACAAAGGTTACATGATTGGCACCTCAGAGTGGATATGGAGATTCCTTTCTCTGTTCTGGCGATCCCCTTGTAGTACTATATAATATTTGTCTTTTCTACAACTCTTAGCACATCAAAGCTAAAATAATTGCTAGCCTTTTCTTGTCTGAGTCAGAAAACTATGGTATATAATATTGTATTTCTCCAGAGCGCTTTGCGGTTGAAAACTAAAAATAATTAAAATAGCTTTTAGTGATTCCTATTTTATTGGAATAAATTCAATCCTAGTATAGCCGGCAACGGATTTCTAGCATTAAAATTTCACTTGATTTATCTTAGATTAGGATGATACACGCTAGGATGATAGCAGTCACAAATTAAATTAAAGTGAGAATATATATTATTTTAACTATAATAAAATGATTAAAGTTTATATGCAAGAAATATATATGTCTTGTATTCATTTATTTAGGGCAAATACTAAGTGTGGTATATCTTTTCAGTTATTATTACAAAGTTAGTGAATACATAACTATCGAAACGATATCATTTAAAAGATATATATGAAAGGGGAAGAGTTGGATAAGTATTAATTACTCTTCGAGTTTAACTTGTTTTTGAGACTTAAAGTAAATACTTGAAGTTTTAGGTCCGACATCACCTATATGGAGTTAGTCCAAAACCTATCAGTTTACATCATTCAAATACGAATTTCTCCAAATTATAATCTTGTTTAACAAAGATCCAGGTAAATACAAATCCAGTACTAACACAAACTCCAGTAGGCACTATAACTTGTTCATAACACAACAGAAATACTGGTTTATTACTTCATATAAGTAAGAAAATATGCACAAATTAAAACATAACTATAAAAACTAAAATACATAAGTTGTCAAGCTTTTTTTGGTATTACTTTCAAAGAGTGGCGTTTTCTCGCTGTAACCCCTAAGCTTTCATCCATATTGATAGATTTAGGAGAGACACCATCAGGAAGTTCCCAGTCGAATTCGTGTAGCAAAGATCCCAAAGCAAAATGCATCATTCTATGACCTAATGGCAAACCAACGCACATTCTTCGCCCTGCACCAAATGGCATTAGCTCATAATGCTGTCCCTTCACGTCTATTTTCGAGCCAAGAAACCTCTCGGGCTTAAAACTCATAGGGTCGTCCCAACATTCAGGATCTCTTCCAATCGCCCAGACGTTTACTAAAACTTGAGTACCTTTTGGTATGTCATAGCCCATGAACTTGGTATCTTGAATTGTTCTTCTTGGGATCAAGAAAGGGAGAGGAGGATGTAAACGTAGTGATTCCTTTAATACAGCTTGCATATAAGGAAGATTGTCAATGTCACTTTCTTCAAACTTCTTGTTTGGTCCTACTACTTTTGATAACTCTGCTTTCACTTTGGCCATTGCTTCAGGGTGACGGAGGAGCTCCGTTAACGCCCATTCTACGCTGCTGCTCGTCGTCTCTGAACCGGCTAAAAACATTTCCTGATGTTTCATATATGTAGAACAGACTTAATTTCATAGTCTAAAGTAACATGTAGGATACAGCATAAATACTAGGCAGTGCAGTAGTAGTACAGTTTAAAAGTACATATAAGTGATCTATTTTATATAACTTCTCAAGTTACCATTAAGTAATACGGCAGCCCCGTGCACAAGCATCCGAGGAAGGGCCGCATCTTTAGGGGTATGATGTAGACAGCCTACCCTAATGCAAGCTGCTTCCACGAGTTGAACCCGTGACTTATAGGTCACGCGGAAACAACTTTAATTTACTGTTGCTCTAAGGCTCCCCTTCCAAGTGCACATGTAATAGTGAAGGAGATATAAAACAGAAAAAACTAATCATTTAGATCAAACTAGGCCTCATAATTATTAAAAGGGAAAATGATACCGCATAGTCGCTCTCAAAATAATAGCCGAAACAATGTAAATTTTTTGTATATATATACATTATGTATATATGTTATATACAAAAATGATACAAATTTTATACACTTTTCGACTATCAAATATAAATAGCTTCTGGCGCGGGCTAAAAGTGAAAAAAAGCCCTAGTTAAAAGTGGGAATAGTAGAAAATAAGAAATGAAGTAATATTATAGCCTAAGATTGAAGAAAATATAGTAGAGTTTTATGCTCAAAATACTAGTGATTGAAATGTTTTGATCTCAAGTGTAACGATGTCAAAAGACTTACCATTACTAATATTTTGATCTCATGTTGTGATAATTTAGCTGGTTCATCTTTTCCAGTGCCCTCAAATTCAAGCAAAACATCCAAGAAATCTTTATTCCTTTTCTCCCCGCCTTTAATTGGCTCTTCCTCTCGTTCCTTAAGAAATGCAGATCCAAATTCCATGGCCTTTCCCATATCTCGCGTCATCTTCTTTCTCAAACTTTGTAAATCAAATCTTTTAAGAATTGGAAATATATCAGAAACATTAGGAATACCTGACCATTCCATAATTCCTTTCATGGCATTGAAAAACTCTGAGGCCTCTTCTGACTCTGGATCCGCCAGGTCTTTTGAAAAAATCAAATTTCCTAACATATTAAACGATGCAAGAAATACAAAACGCGTTACCTCAATCCCACTTCCTTTTTTCACAACATTCGCTTCTTTCTCTATCCATTTAACCATATCATTTACACATTTGCCTCTAACAGACACTGTTTCATTTATCTTTTTGTTTACAAACATTTCAACAGTACATATTCGCCTTTGTAAGCGCCAAAACGAACCATATTGCCCTAAAGCCATAGACCCTTGATAGTAATTATGTGCCTGATTTACATCAACAGTACATCTATCTGCAAATGTAATATCATGATTCTTGAATAAATCTGCAGCAGCTTGAGCTGTTTGAACTACCATAGAATTAATACAAGGACCTATTTTTAACCACAAAACAGGACCATATTTCTCTTTTAGAACTGCAACTTTTTTGTATGGTAAAGATCCTAGTTCAAACATATTACCAAAAACTGGTAATCCAGGTGGTCCTGGAGGTAATTTGTAGGAAGAATTAGTCTTTTTCTTGGGAAGTATTAGTAGAAGAAGTAGTAAAAAGATGATTGTAGAAAAAAATAGATAGCTCCATTCCCATTCCATCTCTCTCCTTAGTTTTTTTGTGACTTGCTAGTTTGCTATGAATTGTGTAATGGTAGCTCTTATAATATTTCTTGCTATCACCTCACTCACCAAGGCGGACCCACAATTTAAGCGTTGGGGTGTATTTTAGGGGACCCACTACTAATATATCACTATTTGCTAAAAATATATTTATATATACATGATTTTTTGCGAACTTTACGGGTGCTGGTGACCCCTCTCGATATAACATTTGTATGACTCGGCAGCTTGGACCCCATTAGGCATTGTTTAATGGTGCACGCATAAGCTGTTTCTTATATTAATTGTTGTTTTGAACTTGGCATTTTAATAGTCTTGATCCTCTGAATGCTGACGAATCAATTATTAAGTACACGAGTAATGTTACGCGGCGCCTTCCTGAGATTCCTTGGAAGGGCGACGTAAGGCTAGGCAACTGATGTCAGTGCAGTTGTTGTCCGCCAACTGAGGTCCCCTCCGTACGCTAGACGAGATTGTCAGTGCCGTATGGGAAAACCAATGTCAAAAGCAATTGAGAGAACAGAAATGAGAATTCAGAATGAAAGAAAGCTTGATTGCATTAATGAAAGCTATTACAGAAAAGCAACGCGGTGTCGAGGGGGAGAGCAGTACAGAGAATTGCTTGCTTGCTAGAAAGTTTTGATTGCTTGATCCTCCCTAATAATACTTAAAAAAAGTAATCCAAAGTTACAAGACTAGACTTGACTAAGCTAGAGAAACATAATGGAAGTACATGAAATAAAACTACTCTATATTTACAATGAAAATGACTTAGTTTTCTATAAGGCAGCAGCAGGTCCGTTGTCAGCAGCAGTGTCTTTGGCATCACGGTCTGCGCGCGCGGCATTGTCTGCGCGCGCGGTGCTGTTGGCTTCTGCCTGCGGCTTGGCGCTCGCGAGGGATATCGGTGGGGCGACAGAGGCACCTGCGCGCTTATCACTTGGCGCGGCCAAGACCACGGGGCCGTCCGTGGCGCTAGGCATTGGGAGGTTTGCTAGGACGCCACGGGGCGCGCCCAAGGAGTCATGGGGCATGGCTGGAAAGCCGCCCATGACATTCTCCCCCACCTGGGTTGGCGACGTCCTCGGCGCCTTACTTGCAAAATAATCTTCAATGAGGCTCTTGTAGGCTTTGAGGTTTGTTCCCCTCTCCCAAGTATTCTCTTCTGCATCACAGCCCTGCTATTTCACCAAAAACTCTTGGTGATCTTTCCTTGAGGCATGAATCACTCTGTCATCAAGGATAGCTTCAACACGCCTTTTCCCGGTTGAATTGGGACCTCGAATACTGGGTATTATGAGCTGGCTCCTTGAAGGATCCTCCGTGTCTTCCCGAAAAGGTTTCAGGAGACTGACATGGAAGACAGGATGAATTTTCCACCAAGCCGGGGTATCCACCCGGTATGCAACCTTCCCAATACGCTTTTCAATGGACAAGGGTCCAATGTATTTTTGCAATAGGCGAGGGTCATGGACCCCTGCAAATAAGTATCGCTTTGGAATTTTGACCATCACTTTGTCTCCTACTCGATATTCAACAAAGCGACGATTCTGATCAGCATGCCTCTTCATCCGCTTTTGGGCTTTGACAAGATAGCTCCGCACTATCTCCAAATTCCGCCTCCACTCTTTTGAGAAGCTGGCAGCTCCGGGAGATTTAGCCATGTTTGGTGCATTCACAGTGTGTGGGAGTAGGGTTGCTGTCCGGTAACAATTTCAAAAGCGCTTTTGTTGGTACTAGAGCTCTTTTGTGAATTGAAACACAGTTGAGCAGCATCCAGAAGCTTCACCCAATTCTTCTGCGATTTGGTTACAAAGTGGCGGAGATATTCCTCCAACATACCATTGAACCGCTCCGTCTGGCCATCAGATTGCGGATGAAAACTTGAGCTGTGACTCAATTTTGACCCAAGGCACTTGAAGAGTTGGGTCCAAAAGTTGCTAGTGAAGCGTGAGTCGCGGTCACTAACAATGTCTTTGGGCAGGCCCCAATATTTGACGACATGAGAGAAGAAGAGTCGAGTTGTATCTTCTGCTGATATATATTGTGGGGCTGCAATAAAGGTGGCATACTTGGAAAACCGGTCCACCACAACCAAGATGGTTGTGAGATCTCCGACCTTGGGCAATCCGGTGATGAAATCCAGGGAAACGCTTTCCCAAGGTCTCTTTGGGACAGCGAGTGGTTCCAAGAGTCCCGCTTGTGTCAAGCGGTCCGACTTGTCCTTCTGGCATACTAGACAAGTCTTCACATACTGAGCGACATCATCGGCCATTT